ACTTCAAGCATTCTAAGTGAACTATTTTTTTTTTTAAGATTTATTTATTTATGCATACAGAACTGGGGTACAAGTCAGAGGTGCGGGGGGCAGTGAGAGGATTTACCAGAGACAGAGTGGGGAGTAAAACAGGCAGATCAACGAAGTACACTGTTGAGGGGAACAGCAGGAGAGTCAGGAGAGGTCTGCCGTGCCAAGTGGATCACCTCAAGGACAGGGAATCCAATTAGCACTGAAGTAGCTGTGGCTAGCTTGCAGTGCTGGTTCCTAACCCATTAAGCCACTAGGGAGGGCGAACTATTTTTTAAAGATTTTATTTTTGCACAGAAGAACTGGTGCATAGACTAGAGATGCTGGAGTGAGAGGATTCAGGAGAGACAGCAGAGAGCAGAATGGGCAGATGTATTGAAGTACACTGCTGAGAGGAGCAGCGGGCGACACAGGAGAGGTCTGCCGCACCATGTGAGTCAGCAACCTGGCCAAGATCTAACTTAGGACATTGTGGTGGGTCTTCGTGGTGGCAGCACTGAGACTTAACCCCTAGGCCACCAGGGAGGTCCTGAATTCACAATTTAATTGTACATTGTAGACTCACAACAAATGTTTTAGTATATCACTAGAAGTCTGGAAATGGCTTAGTAACTGATTTGCTTTGTTCCACATCCTCAGCAGCTCAGCCACCATACCTCACCATGTTTTCCACTTTATTTCCTTGACTTTTCCACCCCCATCTGTTCGTAAGCCACTTAGGTCCAGTCCACACTCATGGCATCTGTGCAGATATAGACAGATGTACACTCCCCTGGAAGCCAGATGATCCTGTCACTTTGCAGAAGGTAATATGCTCGTTAATTTAGGATACTGCATCTAGTCTCAAACATGGTACCATCGAGCTGGGCCTTCTGCTGCCCACCGCCTGTGTGCCCACCTACACAGGTCCTCCCTTGACTGTCAGTCGCATGGTGTGCTTGTTTCCAGAGAAACACCTCCATTGCAACAGCAGTCTCTCAATTTGAAGGGTTTCTGAGTAAGGACTCATACTCTCTGCTCTAAATTTATTCTTTAGGTTCCCAAATCTGGCTCTGGGGAAACATCACACTCAGTCTTACTTCAGCTTGTCCACCATGCTTGCCAAGAGTGCTCAACTGCTGAACTGATTATCAAAATTAAGAATAATGCATAGGTTAGCTTATGATGGAGCCAAGAATATACAATAAGGAAAGGATAGTTTCTACAAGCCAGCACATGTACCAAAGCAGCTTTCTGTTTCCCCAACCACTAGAAAGAAGTCTCTGTCACCTACTGCTCCTTGGTTTGGGAGTGTTCAGGGTGGTTAGAACAGTTTCTGGGCATTAAGAGCCAACTCCCATACTCTCTGGTAAGGAACCTCATTTGTTCCGCTGGAGTCAGAAGCCTACCTCGGGACCAAACAACCTTGCCCGGGAAGAGCTTCCCAAAGGAGGGCATGTCAAAGATGTTGGCTTGAACTCACAAGTTGAAAGTGGAGTCATTGGTCGTGCTGTAAAAGCAGGCAGGTATGAGGCTCCAGATCAGGGCGAAGTGGGACCCAGACAAAAATCTAGGAAAGTGAGGGTAGGCAGCAATCTAGATCGGAAGGCCTGAGGGCTGCAGCCCCTCAGTCATGGACATGTGGGTGGGAGGTGACCACTAGCAGGGAGATGGGAATTTCCTAACAAAGACTTGTCCTCAGTTACAATAAGACCATGTTCAAAATAAAGTAAGATCTTAGATAAGATGACTTACATTGTCGCCAGGAAGGTCTGTCAAAACTAGAACTGTTCACTGACCTTCCACAAAGTACACAGTTTCTCATTATCTTAATATTTACTAAGCACATTACACTTGACAGTTACTCTTCTAAATGCTTTATATGACATTTAATCTTCAAAACTATCCTTTCAGTAGATGCAATTGTTCTCCTCTTATCATCTACCTTCCTGATGGGGCCGCTCACTTGCCCAAATCCCATGAGGCAGTAGGAGCCAGGCGGCGGTCTTGTCCTCATGCCAGCAGCTCTCCTGCTTCGTACAACACTGACTCAATTGGTTTCAATGAATTCTATCTGGAAGCCGAGACATATACTTATTTAAAGGCCAATGAAAATAGTTTCAACAAAATGTGCTTTATTCCAGGTTTATAGCCTTAAATATGAGGACAGCAAACTTTCTAGATCAACTTAGGTCCAAACCTTGGGACCCTCTTAACAAACTAAGACACACTGAAAACCTGCATCTTATGCCTCTTCTGCAAAGCTACCTTCCAGCCAGCCAGGCCCTGAAACCCAACATTTATTACTTGGATGAGGAATAAGATAAATATTGAGATTTGACAGAAAAATGTGAAATATGAGACCTAGGGAAAAAATGAGGTAGAATTCTTCAAGATGACAGAGACCCCGCTTTTAGACTTTCCAGATGTCAGGGCACGAGTTAGCACAAGAGTACTTTGGATTCACCCTCTGGGGGAAAGTCACAAACATCTGAGCTAAAAAACCCAGCCAACCTGAGTCAAGTATCTAATGTTTTCAACAACTCAAAGTTCAAATTCCAATTTAGAAATTAAAAGCTTACACTCCAAATTGGTTTGCTGAAATTGTTTTTCATTTAAATAGTTGACAGAAAACCAAGGAACCAAGTCAAGCAACATCTCTTGATAGATATCTTCCAATACCAAAAACATTCAGAGTAAATTAATTCCTCAGGGTTTCCTTAATAACAGAATGACTGCCAAGGTAACATGCAATATATAGGTGACCACTTTAGGACAGAATTGGTTTTTATTTGAAAATCCTATAATGAAAGAAAAAAGGTTTTTTTTTTTTTTAAGTAAACAACTTATTGGCACAAATGCTCTTGGACCTAAGTAGCTGGTGAGACCCCAGTATGGCTTATTCTCCTCTCCTAGGCCCTTAGGTTACAAAAGCTTGGCTGAGTCAGTCAAGCACATCCCTTCCGGGGTGGAGCACTCACGGCTGGAGGGGTTCTCTAGAGCTGTCCTTGGCCACTGTGACCCTGAACACGCCCATGTCCTGCCCTAAGAGCAAAGCCCTCAGTTGACCTGTGGTAGACATGGAGCATAAATAAAAACAAGTATTTGTTGTTTGAAACTGTGATTCTGTGTTATTACTACAGCATAACCTGCCCTTTCCTGACTGACCAACTTTTGAAGAAGCCAAGCCTTCCCTGTAATCCAGACCATATTATCCACAGTTGCAGTTACTTCATTGTCTATATAATGCCTGCTAAGCTATAATTTTATTAATATGAACATTACTGAATCACAGCCTAAATCTACAAAATGTGAAAAGGTACAGAAACCAATTGAGTATTAATCACAAAACTTAAATCTAAATCAAAAAGCAAAGTTATTTTCACCCAGTTATAGGTACAGAAATCTATACCAAACAAATTATAAAATGCTGACAAAGGTTATCAAAAACACTACCACCCCTGCGTAAGATTTATGCCTACAGGGCACATTGTGGAACAAAACCCACAGCTGAAGGGCACAGGCTTGGTGGCCTCCACAGAGATAGCACAAGAACCCATGTTCACTCATTTGTGGTATGAAGAGAATCACTGCAAATATTTAGCACCCACAACATACATCCTACTCTATGAACAATAACTTACTGTGATTCCAATAGCATTTGGCCCGCTCAAGTCAATACATTTATTTTCCTCAGCTGACAGAATTAAACTCAGTCAACTCAGATATAGACGTAAGTATGTCATATTGATCAAGTAAATCCTGTGGTGATGGCACTTTTCTCTTCGGTTAAGAGTTTTAAAATCATTATGATAATCCACATGTTTACAGTTAAGATGAAACATTTAATAGAGTCAGCCATGACATTTTTTAAAATGAGAATTTAAGTTTACAAACAGTATTTGAAAATTTGGAAACCTGATTTATTATTTATATGTATTCATTGAATTTATAGCTTTCCAAGAATTAATTAGTGCTGACAAAGATTCTGAAAGTTAAGTTTTAAGACTGCCCTCCATTTAGGTCCCTTGAAAGCTTTGGGAGAATCAGATATAAGAAATCTATAAATGAATTTAAAATGTTTAAGCCTTAAATGCGAAGGTAGTTAATCAAATGGAGCTAATGACAGTGGAATTTTATTCAGTGACCTTACTAAGTAAATGTTAAATTAAAAGTCACATAAGTTCTTTCCATGCACAAAGGCCCCCTGAACAGTAAAAACAAAACAACCAAAACACTCCAAAAGAGACTTCTCTCCTTTTTCAAAATTGTTTGTGTCCATTCTTTTCTCTGGCAAGAACTTTTTAGTGTCCTTAAATTTAGTCAATATTGAGCCCTGTAGTGATCTATGGAGAACAACTTGTCAAATGAGGAGGCAGATTCTGCTTCTCTTCCCTAGCACCTTGTCTTGGTGCTTCAAATCCCAGGTGAAACATAAGAGCACACACAGAACACCCCATGTAGTCCTGAGAGAAATGCAGAATCACATCACAGGCAAGAACAGCTCCTTTCTCTGCATTATTTCTATAGTACTTTAACTTTAATGTATCATAGGATCAATTTCTAGCCTATGAAAGATACATTCCATAGCACATACTCCATAAATAATCAATTAGAGAAGAATCACTGGAAATTAAGGCAGTAACTACATCTAAATGCAAAATAATGCCACTTACATTAGTTTTCTTAGGCTCCTAATAGCATAATTGTATCTCTTAATGCAGAGAAAGAATTATTTCCTTGAAATAAATATTAAAGTCTCCCATCTCCCCAAAGTAGCAGATAGTACAGTATTACTGAATGATCAATATCTTAAAAAGTTCTAATAGTTTAAGATCACTCCCAAAAGGACTCTGACTTCCAGAACTGAAGGGAACATCCTAAGTGCTGTTCTTGTATACTATAACTAGTCATATAATTGAGAACATGCTCTTGGAAAAAAGGAAATTAACAAGCAAAGCAAAATGAGTAATAGGAAAAAAAAAAAATCATGCCCATAGTTTCAAATTTTATTTTCATAATTGTCTTCTTATAGAAGCAATAATCTGCATTTCCATAATATATGTAATCGTCTACTCATCAAAGAGCTGGAAAAAATAGGAATAAAGCACAGATTCCATACACATATACCATACTCTGCATATGTACAAATAACTTCAATATATTAAACATATTTTGTAGACTGACTTCACTTATAATATTATAGAACATTGAATATTAGATTCTGAGCATATTCATGCAGATTTCCACTTTGGTAAAAGTGTAACACAAGTTCTGGAAAATAATTTCCTGATGTAAACACCAAATTTTCCACTTCTGACTAAACTCTCAGGATAAAAGACTTAAGTGGAAAAATAAAATGCATAAAGGTGGAACCAATGCGCTTTACTAAACACCACATAGACTAACCCTAACATCAAAGAAAATTTATAATTTCTTAAACTAGTTATTAAAAGTTCTTCAACTAGTTCATAAGAATTGCACACTAGTTACTGTGGGCAGGGAGGGTGGAGAAAGATTATGCTTCTATAAAGCCTCTACGTGGTTTTTAAGCCTCTGTCACATTGCTGCTACAAAATGCACTGAACTATTCCACATTCTGTCTTTTTTTTTTAATGTATAAGAAAAGAATAAAAGTAAAAATAATTTCTCCAAGACTGTAACGGGTAATATGGTCTATAAACAAAGATTCTGAAATATCTTTTAAGTGCTGCCAAATCGCCTTAAACAAATTATTAATTAGTTCAAATGAGCATTAATCAAAGACTCCTGAAGCTGAGCATTGATCAAAGGTCCTGACTGGAGCTGCAGAGTATGGCAGCAAGTGATGAGCTCTCTGAAACATTAGTGTGCCTTTAAACACAAATTCTTAAATATATCTTTGTTGAGACTGTTCAGTTAATCTCCACACAATTATTGGAAAGGAGCTATTCCCAGAAGCATACAAATAACTTGAGAAATCAGAATGTTAAATTTATTAATGCTTTGAGAGTCAGATCATCAATCAAGATGATCTATCCTAACATGTTCCCTGTCAAGAACACCTGCCAAACAAGGTGGTTATTCTGTCTGCACTTCCCCACGGAACCAACTGTGACTAAAATCATTTACAATAATTTACCTTAGTGTTTGGGGAAAATCTTAGCAGAACTAAGCATACAATACTCACAGAAGGCAAGAGTGTAGGAAGAGACAGAGCATGCATATGAGGGACAGGAAGCCACTCTGCATAGCGTCGGCCTGCAGATCGTACACTGGGGAAGTCTCCAATCACAGACTGGGAGATGGGTCTGGGCCACGTGACAAAAGAATGCTTCAAAAATAACCTTTGAGGAACTATCATTAAGGATTAAAATATTGGCAGTAAAGTTTCTTAAATATATGTCCTTTACAAACAACACTTTCCTTTCAGCTAAATTTGTATAGTATATGACACTTCACATGTTAAATTACTTGTTCAGTTACCAATCTAAATGAGTCAGAAATTACTTTAGAGGAGATATATATATATTACAGGCTGATGGAAATATTACTTTTTTGCTAGAACGCATAAAAAAGGCCCTCATTAGTTTACATGTAGTCAAGAGAGTCTGTCATTGTATATACTCTTTTGGTAGAAAATATACCTATACTCCAGAGTGAACTGCAGACATTAGAAAGTCACATTAACATGCTACCACCAAAATTTTCAAACTCACGTAAGACTTTAAATGTATCTTTTATTGGGCTAAATAGCTTTATAATGCTCAAAAGAGCCTTCTGTCCCAATCTTGCCCATGAAATTATATAACAATTTAAATGTATGATATGTATGTAATGTCATGGGGAAAATTGTTCTTTTCAAAACAAAACAAAATTTTAAATACTATTTTGTTTAAGCAGTAAACTTTACTCTTAGCAGCAATAATTAAGTAAATCACAAAGAAATTCTAACAAGAAATTATAAGATCCTAAGTGAAAAGAATATTTCTGGTTTTGTTTAGAACACAATCTCTAGAATTTGGCTTGCAAATTTTAAAATTAATTTTGATAGTGCATTTTTCTGTTAATTCGTGCTGGTGTCTCAGAAAAATTTTTTAGCATGAAAACAAACCAGAAAACACATCACAGGTAGTGAGTACCATGGGTAATTTGGGGAAATGGAAACTAAAAATTGTCTTTTTTAGCATTCACAACCATGACTGCACTGAAGTCTGGATACCCTTCGAGAAGTCCAAGTCCATGAGTAAGTCAGGGTCATGCTCTCTCTCCTGTAAACCGAGACCCTAGCACAACCCTCCTGCATATTCATCTTCATCTTCCTCGGCAGTGGTGGCAGTGGTTCCGTCAGGCTTGGTCTGTGGTGTTGCTGCTGCTTTCTTCTTGATTCCCCCTCCCGGGACCACCAAACTCAGGCCAAGCTTCGCATACTGTCAATGACAAAGCAGTCTCAAAAGCTGAAAAGCTGAGAACCAAGGTTCAGCCACAGTATATAACAACATAGATCTGTAAGAAGTTTTGCACTTTGTGGAAACCTATGCTCTCATTTGTTTATGATTTTTAAAAAAGATTTTATTTATTTATTTTTGTGTAGAACTGGGGTGTAGGCCAGAGGTACAGAGGTGAGAAGACTCACCAGAGACACAGTGGGGAGCAGAACGGGTGGATTTATTGATGAGGGGAGCAGTGGGAGAGACAGGAGATGTCTGCTGCGCCAAGAGAATCAAACTCAGGCCATAGCAGTAATAAGTAATAAGGACTAAGACTCAACCCCTAGGCCACGAAGGAGGTTCCAACCAATTCTCTCTTTCAGATGGAAAACCACCAGAAAACATTCAACACAATTTGTCTTCAGATTATCAGCAATGTGCCACACTTAGAAATGCAAGATAAACTGAAAATACTGAGGTACGTAATACTTGCCATTCTTATAAAGATCTGTGGAATAAGTGAAGAGTGGCAGCTAGGGGTAACCTTTAAAACAGATACAAGTTTACAAATGCCTGTGTGAGAATTTATTTAGAAGAAAACTAGTTCCTTTAGAAATATCATTTATTAAAAAAAAAAAATGAAAGACTTTTAAATGGTCTGATACCAGGACAAGACTAAAGCTGCAGGATCAAACAAATAGGAGCTCACAAACTGAAACACTGAAATGGAAGTGAACAAAAATAAAGCACAAGAGAAACCTACAGCTGAGGGTCACACACCCGCAGTGCATGACGGGCGGTGCAAGGTCATGTTCCACACACAGGCTAGTCTTCACAACAGGCTGCAAGTCAGGGATGAGCTGTTCCACATTTACAGGTAAGCTAAGCAGGTTTATATACAGGATCACACAACTAGTTGTGACAGACGTGGGATTCTAACAAGGCTACTGAGCTGCAGAAGCCACTATGGGGTGGGCCTCTTTCACAAAGCTGAAAGAGAATAAACTAAAAGCAACCTATAAAGGCCAACAGATGGAAGGAGAAGCTGAGAAATGGGACTGGATTTGAAAAAGATCAAGACAGCAGTTAAATAGATACATAAATAGCTAGAAACCCACAGGACTAACATCCAAACAATCTAAATCTTTGGTAAAATTCAGACTAATTTTTTTGAATACCAGCTGAGGCAAAAAGTAGGGGAGAAAATCTCAAGTTAAAGAAAGAAAAATAATCTCATAGCACAGGAGAAAGTCAAACAAAAGGTTACTTACATCATTGTCCATGTATTTGAAAAGGGGTGAGTTGCAGACATCTGAGACTTGATCTTGGTCTTGCTGGTCATACCCTTCAAGAAGGCGTTCTAGTGCAGCACAATCTTCACTGCCATTGAACCCTGGAATGCTACAGCAAGGACGAATCACACCTGTTCCTTCACAGAATGCTTCTCAACCAGGGATGATTTTACCCCCAACAGATGTTTGGCAATGTCTGGGGGGATTTTTAATCATTACAATGGGCACTAGAGGCTCCTGGTGGGTGGACACCAGGAAGTCGCCACACACCCCACAATATACATGACAAGTTAACAGGGAAGACTCTCAGCCCAAAACACCCAGGGTGGAGCCTGAGGCTGCCCAATTTAACCATCTCCAACAAGAAAATCCCTCATTCTGATCTTTTACTAACACATAAGAAGAGATCTTTTTCTTTTTTGTCCTTATTTCTTAAATTAAACAAAATTATTTCAGCCACTAACTCCCATGGAAGTTCCTAAGAGAAACATACAGGAAAGAACATAATTTGTGAACTCTGTTTGTAAAAGCTGAAATGGTGGTCAAGTGCACCTATCACTATGAAATTTATTAAAAAACAACAACAAAAAAGTCTCATGGTCTTAAGTATATTTCCAAGAAGCAATTTTAGAGAAATAGAAACAACACTGGTCAAGAAGAAAGGCCCCTCAGCATCTTACCTGTAGCTCTCCCTGACACATCTTTCTGCAGCCACGTAGTCATTTCTGTGGAGATGAACTAAGACTTGAGCAATTGTTTTCTAAAACAGAAAAAGTGATTATGTTCCAAACTTAGGTCAATTTAATGAAGTCAATTTTCTGGAAGCTGGAATTTAACTCTTAGAGCCTTGGTTTATAGAGAAAAAGCTTCATAAATTTTGTAGACTTCCAGAAGCTATCTGAGGGAAAATATCCAAGAACAAAACACTCAAACTCTAAAGTGCACATGCACCACCTGGTCTGGTTAAAATGGCGGTAGAGCTGAGGCCAGTCTGTGACCCTGCTGAGGGCACTAGAGAAACCCCTGTCTAGTAGACAGGCAGCCTGAGGACCACACGTGGACCTTAGCAAAGTCTCAGCATACAACTACAATGTGTTTTAAAATTTATCTATATAAGTTTAATCTTGACAAGGGAATAAAAATGGAGGTGGGGAGGAATAACTTTACAATTATACTTCAGAATTATTAAAAGAACTGCTAGGACAAAATTTATGAATGAAAACTCTACAGTCAATTAAATTATAAGTCAATGAAAGCAGTCATAATATCAAAGAATGGTAAGATCTTATCAACAAATAGCTTTAAAACATTTTTCAAAAATTTTTTTAAAGATTTATTTATTTATACATACAGCACTGGGGTACAGGCCATAGGAGCAGGGGCAGTGAGAGGATGCACCAAAGACAGAGTGGGGAGCAGAACAGGCTGACTAATGAAGTACACTGCTGAGGGGAGCAGCGGGCAGGTCAGGAGAGGTCTGCTACACCATGTGGGTCACCTCTGGGACTGGGATCGAACTCATGCTAAAGTGGCTTTTAGCTTCTTAGTGCTGTACCACCAGAGAGGGCCCATTTTTAAACTTTTAAAAAAAATCTCTCATTAAGATAACTTATTGCTCTAGCTTTAAATTCAATCTTTCCTCATCTCCATTATCAATTTTAAGCCCATTCAGTATTTTACTTAAGACATGTGCTTTTCAATTCTAAAATTCTTTTAGTTTTTGTAGTTTCTAAAAAAATAGTTGGTTTCTTTTAAAGTCAGTCCTCTTGTACATTCATTTCAGCTGTGTTTACTTTTATCAAGTGAGGCAGTGATGACAGCTGCTTCAAAGCCCTGACTGCAGCATTATTCCAACATTTGGGTCATATCTGGTTGGTATCACTAGTCTTTTCTCTAGAAAAGTGGTCATGCAAATTGTAATACTGGTATAATCTAGAACTACAATAACTAATAAGGTGATCATTTTTTGAAATGCAGTTTGTTTAAATCCAGGTTTAAATGTAAAATACATATCAGATTTAAAGGACTTAGTAAAAAACCAGAAATTCAAGAATCTTATCAATAATTGTACTAATTAGATATTAAAATAACATCATGGAAATACATAACTTTGAATATGTATGTTTTAAATAAATTACTAAAATAAATTTCACTTTTTAAATAAGGTACTAGAAAACTTGAAATTCCTATGTGACTCCCACTTGAGGCTTACACTGCATGTTCACTGGACAACATTAGACTGGGATGCTTCTGTTGGTCATGCAATATAGACTGTGTTTTTCCCTGATTTTTAAGACAACATTATAAACTGCAAAAGTACCACCTCTATTTTCCAGTTAGCTCGTAACATCATCATGATGATGAAAGGGCTTTCTAACAAAGATTTCTTGTTACTGACTTTTGAGAATGTTACATCTGATAATACACACATTTACCCTTTCATTTAAATACCAGTTATGTGGCTACAACCTGGTCATGTTTTCTTGGTTCTTTCTATGTGAGTACTTAGGGACTCTGTCCTTCACATTCTCATGCTGCATGGACCCTTCCATTAATCATCAGGAGGGTGTGGATGTCTTCAGCAGGCACAGGTTCCATCTAACCTCAGCGGGCAGGTTGTCTGTTTTGGTGAATAGGACTTGAGTCTAAGTTTAGTCCCTCTCTGCTGTTCTGGCTCTGGGCCATGGGCAGTAATTTAATCTCATTCCAAAGCCTGTGCTCTGCCACTCTGGATTGTCCCAAACATGCAATACTGTAATAAATCCACAAGCTCTGATGGCCCACACATGGCTCAGGGGATTCTCTGCCCCACTCTCCTCTGTGAAACTTTCTTCTTGCCCAGGTCCTCTGGCTAAAGAGACTGGACTTCCTTGGCATTCTAGCTGCACCCCACACAGGTGAAGATCCGTGATGCCTTTAGAGCAAAGCCAAGGGTAGAAAAAGAAAAGAAAATTTTTCTACTTCATCTGGTTAGAAAGAGGGGATTCACTGGGACTTTAAGCTTTGGACCTATATTGCACAGATAGGAGGCTTCTCTCATGACAATGCTGCAAGACAAGAGAGAAGACCCTGGAAACCAACTCCCATATTGGTTGCTACTCCAAGTTCTTACTCCCCTGAATAGTGTCCTCGTTTTATTAACTTTTTAGAGTCCATGGACAATTAGCTGTGCCCAGCAGAATGGGCTATGGTGTGTTCATTCCATCTTAGTATAAAATATAGGACCATCATGTATTATTTTAAAATACACACAAATATCCATGACACTCTGAGGTACAAGATAACCAATATGAAAAATTTTCAATGTAAAAACAAAAATAAGCACTTTCAAAGACTACCTTATAACAAGTTGGATAATTTTCAATTTCTTTATATATATTTTTTTCTTTCTGAATAGAGAGTGCCGCCTCATCAAACCTAAAAGACAAAACAAAGAAATGTAAATATTCCACAACAGAGGTAACTTTGTAATATATTTGATATCATATATTTTAGAAATAAATCGAACATCAGGCCTTTAACAACTGATACATAATATGTATTAACATAAACTGGCTTGGCTTTTAAATGTTGTCTGCATCAAGAAGACAAAAGGAAAGCCATTAAGGAAAAGTCTTTTCAAGTGGGGAGTTTTAAGTCTGGGAAGGGTCATGCATTAACAAATATCTATCAAATTCTGCCTCGTGCATGTTTAGGGAATGAGTTAGGCAATCCCTGATTCATCACCAGTATCTTTCTTTCTACAAGGCCATCCAGAAGTTCTAACAACAATGCCTCCTTGCTAAAGAACTACATCTCCTGCTCTGCCCTCACTGTCATATACTGTTTCTTGCCTCTGTGAGCCCTGTTGCCAGGAAGGGTAACAGTGGAGGACAGGTGGATGGCCAGGAAACTGTTCCAACATTCACTCCTTCACTTTTTCAACTTGCTCTCACACATTTTCCTTATTTATTTATTTAGCCCACTCAGATGTCCGAAGAAGCAAAGGATCGCCAAAAATGTTCCCAATTTCTTCCACGGCCTTACCCCTTTCCCGCATCCCCAGACATGATGCCATGTCATGTGAAGTGAGACCCTCCCAGCCCTGTGAAGTTGTAGTAACACTGAATCCCTTCTAACCTATGACTGGATACACTTAGCAGGCTTTCCCATGTCTTATCCCAACAGTAAGAAAGGGTAAGCAGTTTGTACTGTCAGGATACTGAAGAGGTATACTATGACCCAAGTTAGAAATACATAATTGTTATACTCTGTTTCCCTATATGTTAACAATCAAAATATCTGTATATTCAGCACACACACACAAGCTTAGTTTAGCTCATGTTATTCATTAAACTGAATTTTTGTGGACTTCGCCCAGCAACTTACAGCCTCATAAAGTAACATTCACTGGTGAAACACTTGTAGCAAATTACCAAAGACCAATTTGCTACGTTTTAGGCACACAAACGTATTTAGTTAATAAACAGGAGGAGGTAGCAGAATTTTAAGAATGTACCCAAGGAGTCTTGGTCCTCATATATACTTGCTATGTAATCTCCCCTTGAATGCAGACACACCTCTGAAATATGGTGGGATTCATGCCTATGAGTAGCATACTAATCAAGTGATTTTCAGTAAATCAAAGAGAGATCAAGTGAAGAGGCTTGACCTAATCAAGCACGCCCTTAAAACGACAGAGATGGAAGCCAATAGACACTGTTCTTGCTGACCTGGAAGCAGCTGCAAACTAGAAGGCTGACAGTACACAGGCAAAGAACAGGCACTTCTGGAGCAGAGAGTGGCCCTGGCTGACAGCCCAGAAGGAAACACAGACATGTGTCCCACAGTGGCAAGGAAAGGAACCCTGCGTACAGTCAGAAGCCAGAATGCCATGCAGCCCCCACCATGATTCCACCCTGGAGAAACCCAGGAGGGGACTAAGTAACAGGTGAGTGTTGTTTTAAAACATCATCTTTGTAGTTATTTGTTGTGCAGAAATAGAAGATTTAATGGGGGATTACAACTACTTGTATCATTTGTAATTGTGGCCAAGAATTTATCACAGATCCTATTTTATAAAATAAATTATCCTGGAGCATTCTGTGATGCTAAGGTCCAGATTAGTTCACTCCATTAGAATTCTCAATAGTTCAAACTTTTCATATACTAAGTCTAAATAAATCATTCATGTCCTTGGCATAAAAAGAACACATCCATGAACTAACAACTACCTAACAAAACAGCCACCTGTTATGAAATATTGTATATTTATATGAGTTTGTAGCAAAAAATATTAAAAATTTGATTAACTCTGGATCCATGAAACAGATCTGTAAGTCCACCTATTGTCAAACATATTCAAGAAGTTTTCATTACTTAGTAGAATGAACCCTAGAGGAAATGCTTAATACTACTAACAAAATATATCTGCTTACTGAAAAGAGAATATATTGTTCTTTTCTTTCTGTAATTAAAATTGAAACACAGCCCTCCCTGGTGGCGCAGCGGCTTAGGATGCAGCACTGCAAGCTAATAGCAGCTGCTTCTGTGAGTGTGATCCCTGCCCCAGAGTTGATCCACATGGCACAGCAGATCTCTCCTGACCCCAACCCTCACCCCCCGCTCCCCTCAGCAGTGTATTTGGTCAGTCTGCCTGTTCTAACCCCCCACTCTGTCTCTGGTGAATCCTCTCACTGCCCCTGCACCTCTGGCCTGTTCCCCAATTCTGTACACATAAATAAATAAATCTTAAAAAAAATAAAAATGAAACAAAATGTAAATCACACAAAAACTATGGGCGCATAATAGGAACTATCATGGGATCTCACTCATGCCAACTGTCAAAGTACACCTTTGTCAGGACACAAAGATCTTCTACTGGCTCTGGGTCAACTCAACTCCAATGACGATGTCCTCCTCACACATATCTAGCTTTCCCAGCAATTCTGTGTAGTGACTGTCAATTGGCGGCAAGTATTTCTTTAAGTGAGTCTTAGAAGTAGGGGGTAGGATGGTAGAGGATGGCACTGAAATAGAAATTTGGCTCTTTCTACTTGTGAATCACAGCACTGCTCTGGCAGGTGTTGTGGATCTAGGTCACTAAGAACCAACTGCAAAGTATACCATCTGCTCAGCTACCTCAGATCTTTTCTGGAAGGCAAGGGAACTTAAGTCTCACCAGTAAGTCTATCAACTGCCTGGAAAATCTTTTCCAGGAGAGAACAAAGGCACTTCTCTATGACTGGCTTGGGCCTCTCCCTGCAACTACCTAAATGAAATCTCACTCGCTTGTAGGAAGGAAAGAAGGAAGAAAAGGAGATATAGTAAATGGCAATTTATTTTGCTATTCTAAGATACAAACTAAAACATACTTCAGTTAGGATCAAATCCTATGACTCGTGTTAACTAACTACATTAGTTAACTATATTAACTAGATATAACAAAACAATTTAATTTTCATGCCATTCTATTAGTAGAAGCTATTTGCATAAAATATAAAATTACCTGTTTTTGTTCTTTAACTGGTAGCCTCGATTTGGGATTGTAATCAAAGTAAAGGTTCAAGGTGTTCAAATATCAAAGAAATGGGCTCAATTATCTTTGACTATTCTTTTCATTATGTTTATTGTGGCACCACTGGTTTACAACACTGTACATGTAATGACATACCTCTTCAAAGGTATGTCATCATGCTATACCCACCAAAGCCCCAATATTTCCCACCATAGTCCACTGGGTCCCTGTACATTTTGCTTTCCATACCCCTCCCATGACTTTGTGGCTGCATCACTTCTGTAGTTAAGATTTCAAGGGCTTATTCTGGCTTGTTTGTGTCTAGACCTATCACATGCTACAGTAATGCCTAGGGAAGGGATTGCTGATCCCCTAAGAAAAGAATACAGAAATCCTGGTATGAAGGAAAATATCCACTCTCTGTTCACTGCAGCACTATTTATAGTGGCCAAACTATGGACACTGAAGTGCCCCCACAGACATGTCAATAAAGACGATGGGAACAGATGCAGGAGAAGAGGGTGGCTCTCCCAGTGCCCTGATATTACTGCTGGCAAGACTGTTTCTTGGGCTTTCCTACCTTTTCTGGGGGCCTCTGTCTCATTTCCTTGTGGAGACAATAACTGCCAAGTCCTCAGTTCTCTCCCAAGGGCACACTGTGTCCAGAGACAAGGAGGACTACCGGCCGCTACTCTTCTGCCACCTTGGATCAACCCTCCACTCTCTTTGTTTCCCTCCATTTGTACTACTGAAATTCTGCTAGAAATACTGCACATTTAACTTTTTTGGCATTTGGCTTTTAATTCTTTTGTACCACATGTAGCTAGTGATCCTTGTCAATCTCAAATTTCTTAAATAAATTTTTATACCATTATATAACTGCAAAAAAAATTCCAATTTTGATCTAACAATGCATGAAATGCTATCATTTTTAGTGCATTTTTACTAAAAACTAAAAAGCAATAAACCAAATTTGTAAGCTAAAGGTTTTATGGCTGCCTTAGATTTATCTGCCTTTCAAACACATCAACACAACACTCCTCCTGCTCATTCTATCGGTACTTTCCCCCTTTCGTTGACACTGTCAAGAAAATTCTGTACTTGCTTTAGAATGGTTCTCATTACACACATGACAACTAACAGTTGACTTTTTCGAAATGAAGGTGGCTGCTACCCCAGAGGAGCTCTTCCAAGGAACATGTGTTAAGTACAGCCAGCAAACTTTCCTCAGCTGACCTTCTAGGAGATCCTGCCTGCACCCCCGCCCATGGCTACTCACCCTAAAATACAGTTTCAGATAAACCATGGTTTGGAAAGCAAAAGGAGAAAGGATGTGTGTGCAAAGCAGAAATATTCAAGGAAGCTGAGCAGAGCTCACAACTACACTTCTTGGGCCTTCAGTGAAGCCCATGGCAGGGTCCAAGGCACTATCAAGGCACTGAGAGACTGGGGAAGGACTGCTAGGAGGTGGGACAAGAGAGAAAAGGAGATGAAAGTGCGCCAAGCAGCACCTACTGACCGCACTACTGCAGAGGCCAGGGCGCCTCTGCATGCAGCACAGGCCCCTGTCCACAGGGTCAGTCCAGGTGCCACCTTACAGCCTGGCACCAACACCTCCAGCAGCAGGGATGGGGGAGGGACACACCTTTCCAGAGACTAAACAGGGCACATCAAACCATAAGTTACAAGCTGGGAATTGCCGGAATTAACATTTCAGTCCTTCTGATTTCTAGAAAGCCAACATTGTTTAGAAGAATAGAAATAATGAGCCAATGTTGATCTAGAAATTAAATTTTGCCTCATTCTTTCATACAAAAGTATTAATTAAAAAAATGTTATTTCTATTTAGACTAACAGAAAACTAATCGATGAAAGGTCCTATATAAAAATGACAGCAATCAAGTTATCAGTTCTAGATTAATTTATTCTGATGCTACTATAAATTTACTTGAATTACTTTAAAGTCCAATATTCATGAAGAAAAATTTGAATTCAGTCTCAGAAAGGATTAACAGATTCTTTGATAACATGTTTTACAATTCTCTGACAAAATATGAAGTTTTTCTGTCACTGTCGAGGTGACAAGTTTCAATTATGGTTTCCATCTTCAGATTTTCAGTGCTTATTAAATAATTTTAAATAGTATGAGATGAAGTCTTGGCAAACAACTTTATTAATAACAGAAATAGTTTATTAGACTTATGTAAAGTAAGAAAACAAAAGGAAAACACAGGAACACAGGAAGATCCTAGCTTTCTGTGGTCCAGCTATTCGTGCTTTAGGTCATGTTTAAAGGATAAAAAACTAAAAGCTGTTCCCATGGATCAGCATGTAAGGCCTCTTATCACTTATGCCTATTCAGACACTTCTCCTCAAGAAAGGTACTACAATCCAGCCAATAACAAATCTTATGATGTTGAGCTGGGTTTTAAAAATAAAAGCACTTGGCCCTCCCTGGTGGCGCAGCGGGTTAAAGCACAACACTGAGAATCTAAAGCCGCTTCTGCATGAGTTCGATTCCCGCCTGCCCCGGAGGTGACCACATGGCGTGGCGGACCTCTCCTGACCCGCCCGCTGCTCCCCTCAGCAGTGTACTTCATTGATCTGCCTGTTCTGCTCCCCACTCTGTCTTTGGTGAAGCCTCTCGCCGCCCCTGAGCCTCTGGCCTGTACCCCAGTTCTGTATGCACAAATAAATAAATCTTAAAAAAAAAAAAAGCACAATCCATGATAAAATTTGGAGTTATACTTTAGAAAACAATATTTTAATAGTATTTAATTCAATGTACCATCTAATAGTCTTTAATTTTTCTGCTGATAGGCTGGCATACCCGTGACTTGCACCAGAAAGATTAATAATCCATTTCTCAAATTACTCTGGCTGTAGACTGAAGGGAAATGCATGGACAGTTCTAGATGACTTACCTGCGACTTCGAACTAGCAGTCTAGAAGCTTTTCCTAGTAATTCAACTGCCTGTCGTAAGCGTTCCTCATTCTAAAGGAATTAAACAAAAGTTATTCAATAAAAGAGTAGCAGAAGTTGATTAGGAAAGGAGACACTAAAGTTGCTAGGCCAATTCATTCCCTAAAAGAAAAATCTTAGAAATAGAGTTCAGATGCAAACATGGAAAAGTTGTAAAAAGCAACCACTGCATTTCTGTTTTCCTACATATTATGAATCTAAAATTTTAAGTACTTTGGAAAAAAATAAAAATCAAACTTACTTCAAACACATTGGCTGTCTGTTGATATAACTGTACAGCCTTTTCTGGATCTACATTTTCTATGAGCCTAAATTAAACAAGAAAATTTGACTTACATGAGGAAAAAACACTTTTCACAGGACTTTACGGTAACATGAAGAGAATGGCCTCCCTACAGACTTGTGCCCCACTCACTTTCCAGCTCGCTCCAACGCCATGGCCGCTGTGTCCGGGGTGCCGTTTTCTAGATACATCATGCTGGCTTTCTCAATCAGCTGAACAGCCTCGGGGAGTTTCTGCATCTCCTACAGGCAAGGGATATAGCACAGGAAATGCAGAGCTTAAGAAATGGAGTTAATCTGATACTCAAAAGATTCTATCCTTAGTTTATGAAAGTAAATGACTCAAAATACTTTACAACACTATATCTAAAATGAAATGCCTTCACATAGTTATTTTCCCCATCAAACTTCGTTAGCCAAATCAAAAATATGTCAATTTATTTCCACAGAGTTCATCATGGCTTCAGTTTCAGGAAAACTATAAAAACCGTACATGTGTGCACGCGCACCTCCCCCCCTCTTGCCCCCCCCCCCCCGGCCAAATCTACGGTATCAGCAAGTCTGCATGCCCATGAGACAACAGGAGGCTGTGCCTCAGCTGTATCTCACTTCATTAAACCTCCTGGAAGTGGTGGTATCCCTCCAGCTCCCTGCACATCTAGCTTCCCTCTTCATTTCAGTCACTCACATCTACCCTGGCTTCTTCTAAGTTGCGTCCCTTTTCCATGCTGTGATGCATCGACCATAGAAAAACTCAAGTGGAATGATATCAATTAATATATCTTAATATATCCCCAAACCTCAGTGAAAAAGCATTTTGTTACAGAAATCAAAGGTCAATGAAAGAATAAAGAAGCTATAATATACGCTTAAGAATGTCTGAAAGGAAGGGAAGGTAAGTCCCAACAAAATTTATTATATCCACTTTAGTCCTGGAGGCATCACTGTACCCTTTACAGATTGTTTCTTCTCCCAACTCACCTATCCTCTAATTAAAAACAAACACTGAGCGGCCCTCCCTGGTAGCACAGCGGGTTAAAGCACTGCATTAAGAAGCTTAAGCCACTTCCGCATGAGTTCGATCCCCACCTGCCCTGGAGGAGATCCACATGGCAGGGCAGACCTCTCCTGACCCGCCCGCTGCTCCCCTCAGCAGTGTACTTCGTCAATCTGCCTGTTCTGCTCCCCACTCTGTTCCTGGTGAATCCTTTCACCCTCTGCATCTCTGGCCTGTACCCCAGTTCTGTATAAATAAATCTTTAAAAAAAACAAACACTGAGCATCTACTATATGCAATACACTTTTTGGGGGGTGGGGGTTAAAATAAACAACACACAGCACTATCAATGAGTTTTGCTCTTGTAAACAAGCAACAAAGAACAGTAACTGTCTAAGAAAGGAATATGAAGTACCATTTACGTCATATGTTAAAAAATTAAGCTCTTTGCTGTTGCATTAAATCAAGCAAGATAGTGAATAGCAAAGGTACAATCATAATATGATGCCTCTCCATAAAAACAAATAGGCAGCCTTTTCAGAGTTACACTCTTTTATACTCTTTACAATGTTCCAATATGGCAAAATCATTGAGAAAATTGCAATTGGCCTATTGTCAGTGTCTTGTGTGTCTAAGTTGTGTTATCACTTCTATGAAGCCAACAGGGTATAAAATTATAACAGCTGTGACGTGATAGAACCAAAGGTTGATCCCAAAGTCCCCATGTCGTCCTTGTGCCTCCAGCTACATACTGTTTCAGCCTAAGCATAGCTGGGGATGACACTTTGGTAGAAAACTTTAGCCCATAGAATTAACTGTGGGCCACAGAGGCTAACACCCACTGTTGCCCGAGACATTTAATGCAATGCCAGCACATGCCAGAAAGCTTTTTTAATTTTTTTGGTCCTTTTATCCATCTAATAGGTATACTTCTCTTTCATTCAAAAAAGTGCCTTTCAAATTCACAAATTAAACAGCAACAGAAATGTCTGAATAGAAACTGCTGATGAAGAATGAAGACTCAAATATTGATTAATACAGCTGTTAGAATATAAGGTAAGTCTGTGAGTATTTTATACTATCGTGTTCTAGCATTTTCATATTAAAATAGTGCAACCCAGTAATAGGCCAAAGTACAAGACCATAAGAGCCCCCTACTTGACAGTTCCCTCATTCTTGGAGGAAAGTAACAGAGAAAGCCAGGGCAGACAGCTAGTTCTTTCAACAAACAGAAAAGTTCTAGTTGCTATGGAATTGTTGCCAATAACCTGATTAGTATCCCAAGTATCTATTTGGTTGTATGTTTCCATCAGAAAAGATTTATCACTATAGCTACATACAGTTTATCACAGGAAGCATGACACACTTTCCTATTACTAGAAGTTTAAATAGCCTTCTTTCTTCAACACTGCAGCAAGAAAGTCTTACTTTACTTGACGATAAATTCATGCTGTATTTTACTTTATGATAAATTTATAGAATTGGAATTCCTGGGTCAAAGGCTATAAGTCCTTGAAATATATTAACAAATAATTTTTTAAAGACATCAGAAAATCTCCTTGAAAGTTAAACGTTTAATATTCAACAGTAGGAGGCACAGTTGTGTGCACAGCATTATCCAGAGAGTGAGAGTATGGAGGGATGTAAGAAAATGTTGTATGTGTACATTAAAATAACTGGGTGAGAAGTATTAAACGTGTTAAATTCTTTAATTTTTCCAGTGTTTCTAATTGTTCTATATGTATGCACTTAAAAAATTCAGTAAAATTATGAAAGTCATAGAAACTAAAATAGAAGTTCTTAAAACAAATCTTTGTAACAAATAATTCAAAAGAGCTTTTACCATACTAGAGAACATGAGAACAGAATTTCAGTTGCCACTTGGCATACTCTGAGAGCTAGTGTAATAAAATATCTGTTTCAACAAAACATTAATTCTTAACTTGTTTTTAAGAAGCAGAAATATGAACAGTGGCATGGGCACATTAGCCAAACATTCCATTCAATGAAAATCAGAGTTAAACAGCAGAGTTCAAGTCTGTGATGCTTTTTAATGCCCACTGACATATTTATATAACAAGCAAAAATGTCTCCTTTTATAACCTATCAGTAATACCAAATTAAGTTTTTATTACACTAAGTCTAAAAATCCAAAGAAGAGTACCTCCCACACAGTTCACTGTTTAGTGATACTCTCTCCTGGTTACAAAGCTTAGAACATTCCAAGTTCCCTCTGAAATTTCACTTATAAAACTCCCTATCTTCAGGCATACATGTGTACCCCACAGGTCCAATTAGCATTACTTTGGATGAGAAATATTAACTAAAGATCCCGAGCTTTACAGCAAGGAGACTTTTCAATCCAAGTGACATTTAAGTTCACCATGTAGTCAATTTATTTTACCTATGGAACAGCTGGAACACATTACTGACCTTTAACATCATGCCGGCTTGCTCATAAGCTCTGAAAAGAGAATATAATTTCCTGGATAAGTTCTTAAAGATAAAGGGAGAAGAAAAATTTTCTACCACATATACTGGAAATTCAAGCAACTAAAACTGGTGCAGGCCCCATATCTTACTTCAGTCTTGTATTAACACACAATACAAGAAGCTTTCTTCCCTTTACTTTGTGGGCAATAATGCCTTGGAAACATCAAACATATGAGTTAAAGGGACTTTATTTTACAGATGCAAATTAAAGCAAGGCTCAGAAAGTTTAAATCTTTTTATTTAACAAACCTAAATTCATGTATGGAAACAAGTAAGTACCCTCAATATAAAAAAAGCTCTCGCATCTCTCCATGGGGCACTATTATGAAGGGGGAAAGAGATTCTAACTTACTTGTTTTTTTACAACTTATTGAACAAAATGACCCCTAAAATTTACTGTGAGTTTAACTTAAACACTACCTTAGAAATGACTTAATTTTTAAGGTTCAAGGAAAGACTAAACAAAACAAAAAGAAATGACTACTTAATTTAAATTAATCCAATAAGCAGTCATTATTTATGAATTTCTAACAGGAAAAACAGCAACATTTAAAACACAGTATTCTGTAAATACATGAAGATATTTACTTACTTGGCAGCATGAAAAAGACTGATTGGATATAACAAAGTCAAAATTAAGGAAAAAAACAACTCAATACGTTCTAAAGATCTACTGTTGAAGCCAAAGTTAACTAAGTCACTGCCCCACTTGGTTTCAAAGCACAAATCCTAAAAATAGGTAAATAAGTAATTTAATGCCTGTTGATATCACTTCCAACTATAGAATTCACAAAAATACTAACAAAATATAACATACTTTCAACTAATTCCATTATGCATTAATCTGAAGTGTTTTCCTAAAATGCAAGATTACAATTCTAATCTGGAAAGTGAAATAAACATTTTTTAGTTGATAAGTTTTAAAATATGCCATTTAAGATGACTGGTAAAACATATTTCAAATATACCTATGGTAGACTACCTTTAAAATGTTAGCATGATTTCTACTTCCCAACACCTGTATACCTCTTCACTTTTTAATATCTGCCTGTAGATTTTCCTCATGTTTTCCCAAATAAAGTCATTACCAAGAAAAATCTGTAATAATCAAAATAAATCCCCAAACGTAGCTCTGCAAAACAGTGGATCTTATGATCAAAAGGTCTCTATAAATGCTCCTATAGAGTTAAAAATGTGTAATTCTTCTGATCATTTTCTGATTTAATAGCACTGTATTCCACATGTGCAAATGTGTAACAAGAAAAAAATAATATGTTTCTGTCAAGATCATTTGACAAGCCTTTATAAAGGCTGAAAAAGATACGCCCTATTATTCTCATGAGCAACAGCTTCTTTCAGGCAGGCATCTTTTGCTTGTTCAAATTGTTTGGCATTTTTAAAAGCAACAGCTGAAACAGAACAAAAAAACATACTTTCTATTTTGATCGTTAAAACGAAATCATAAATCATCATCAAAATCTGTGTTGTTGTGTAATATTACAAAATACATTAACTTAGTCAAATATCACTTAGAAATCTTCACATAACTACAAAATACTATTTTTCTGTACAGCATTTTTCCTACAACTGCTTCAATTATCAATAACTTGGATTTATTTTCAAGTCTTTTTTTAAATTGTAAGTTACTGGAAAGAAATTAGTGCTACTTCCAGTTAAAACAAAAGTCCTTCTAACATCAACATATAAGCTTCAAGAAACTATAATCAATACAATTCTCCTAAGTAACAGGAATTATCACATAATACAGTACCTTACTTCATTAGCTTTACAAACAATAACAAAACAGTCCATTATTTACACCTTACTCTATCTTTTAAATTACTTTAAAATCAAACACCAACAAATACATTAAATATTTTATAACAAGCCCTTTTTGAAAAGTACAATCTTTAAATAAATGTCTAAAACACAGTGAGTTTTTTTTTTTTTAAGAAAGCTCTCACACTGCCCAAGTTTCTATGAAAAAAGTTGTCACCGTCCAAAGAAGCAAAGTATTTTGCTTGCTGATGTGTCCTCGTCCCAACAAAACAATTAGGAGATATTAAGAAATACGATACTGCATATTTTGGAATACTTATCAAAGGTTGCTGATATACCCACTGCTTTCACAAAATATTTATTAATAATACACTCTAAAAATTAATTTAAAAAAACACTGAAAGTAAACAGACTACGAAAACATTTTCATCCCTGGATTTCTACATTTTTACCTTTTCAAAAATTCATTCTGGTTTAATATATTTTATATAGGCCTTCAATAAAAATAAGCAAGGGTAAGTTAAGAAACAAACAAACAAAAATAATAAAATCTATCCTGAAATACACCGCTGAGGGGAGCAGCTGGTGAGACAGGAGAGGTCTGCTGCACCATGTGGGTCAGCTCCCTGGCCAGGAATCAACTCATGCTGCAGTGGCTTCCCGTAGCTTAATAGTGCTTAGATTTAACCCCTATGCCACCAAGGAGGCCCCTATTTTACTTTTAATTTATCAGAATGCTTTTTTCCTTGGTAGTACACTAAAACTAAAGTCTGTCAAAAGCACTTATCTAGGTTATTTCCTATGCTAGGCTATCAAATTTGATCTACTTGGGCTATTGGTATTGCTCAACACCAATTGCAAATTGGTGTTCATATATTATACTCTATACTCGAAATAACAGTGAACAAGTTGAAAGCTATCACTCCATAATTTAAAATAAATTTTTAATAAAATCCCTACCTGTTCCATATTTGAAATCACTTTTATCTTACAGATTAAATGTATTAAAGTATTTATATAAGTTAACAGCTTGTACATTTATCAGTGTAAGTCAAAAACCACATGCCAAGCAAACATGATTTGCAGATCTGTTTAAAATAAATGCTAGTTTTTTTTTAAGGTTAACAAAGAAAAATAAAATAAGAAATATGGTACAACCCCTGAAGTGATATGTAACTTCTAAAGTTCAAAAATATATAACTGCAGCAGCACACAGCTATCTCTGCTGTCACAACAGAGGGAGAAGAGTGCTGACTCAGACCTCTACACCTGAAAAGAGCAAGTAGGAAAAATGCAAAGGCTTGGGCAGGCTTTTTATTTTTCCCCCAACAGTATAGGAAGCATTAAGAGTGAGTACCATGGTAAGACGAAGTGACACACTGAAGTGACAGGGCAGCGCCCACATACATACCCGCTTTTCCATATTCAGAGGCAGCACTGTCATAATCGGGTTTCCATTTTAAAAAACCAGTTTTCAGGCTAAAATGAAAAGAAGATATATTTAACAGAAATTACCAATCACATTTATTAGTCAGAACCCGACTGTAATGACCTTGTAGGTCCTTAGGGAAGGACGGGGCATCGAGTGTCATCAGACTACAAGTCTCCATCTCCCCCATCTCTACCTAAATTTAAATTCCCAACTTCTATTCTTCCTCCCACAGTCATAGGCTTGGTTTCCTTCCATCTGATACATCTGTGTAACATCCAGGCATGGTCACCACAGCAGCACGCAGCAGTATTACCGGGAAATATGCCAGACACGGAACCAGAAAGTCTGGCAGGAGCAACAACCCACCTTTAACAAGTGCTGAAGCACATTAAAGCTTGGGCCCCTATGAAGCAATGCAGCAAATAAGCTGTTGGATTTGTGAGACTGAAATGCAGGAGAAGGTAGATAAACACTGAAGAGTCAGCAACACAGGAGACAGGTCTAGTAGATAAAATCTCCCAAAGACTGCAGGGGGGTCTGAAAGACCCTAAGATACAAACAGGCAAAAACAATAAGGGGACTCAGCAGAGCTGAGAGTCATTCACCACCACTGAGGGAAACCAGAAAATCAGGGAAGGTACAAACAAGAGATACACATGACTGCTAAGACCCAAACCAAGAGACAATTCTAAGTCCCTCTCTTATTTGCCCCTTCAGCGATATCTTTTTTTTTTTAAATTTCAAAACAATTTCCAGCTTTATATTTAAAGTTTAAACTAAGGGGCTGTCAAACTTAAATGTACAAGAGAACTGCTAAGTAAACATACATCAAATTCTAAATTTCATGTCAATTAGTGCAAGTCTGCTTACATATAAACCTGCTAGCTTCAAGGAACTGGGGAGCTTCTGAACTGAAAAGGGGACTCCCCAAGGGCCTTCAGAAGTACATTCAGTGACAACTACGCATACTGCTCAGAGGCCGTAACATTTACAGAACATATTTTCTGCCAATTAAATTTACTTACACAAATTTACATGTTTACCAAGAATTTTTTGGCTCAGAAAATAAAATCATTACATTTCATAGTGTCTAATCCACAAAACAGAGGAAACTCAATACAGCGAAATTGTAATCCTCCACTTCTACACCAAAACACTTAATATATGCTATAATTAACATAATTTTAAAAAATCCCACCAAACAAGACATAATCATTTGATTGTCTTATGTGCTATATGTGCAGTGAGTCAAAGATTTCAAAATACAGCAAATCATCCCCATTCAACTAAACACCTCTGATTAGGAAGAAAGTATTCTTAACCTAGGTTTAATGGCCATTAGGATTTTCAACTATTTTTGTCGAATCAATAAAGAGAATTCTATGGAGAAAATAATAAAGAAAAAGGTTTGATCAGCTTCTGCTGAACCAAAAAAAAAAAAAAAAAGAGCACAATCTAACATGTGTTTGTGGGATTATTATTACAAAATGATTTGGCATTTTCAGTAGAAAAAAGAAAATCCTGGTCCTAACTCCTGGTCCACCTACTGACAACTCTGTCCAGAGGCACTTTAAGCATAACATATTCAAACCTGAATTCAATACTCCAGCCCTCCCTACCCACTATCATGTTCATGCATATGTACCCCATCTTAGATGAAGGTCTTTTCCCCCACTCCATCTCCCAAATTAGAAACCTAAAAATCAAGCCTTTTCCTTCATAGTCAGTCATATCATTAAAGCTTGTCAACTTGACTTGGCAAAGGTGACTCAGTCCTGCACCTTGTACCTATACTTTCATTCAGCAGAGTAATGGAAAAGACCTTCTTCCACTCCCTGCATCCTGGAGATGAAACTTATCCTTACTTTAGCTCCACTGAAGACACTGAATATTCTATACTAACATTTAACCCCTGTGAAATAATGTAAAATATGGTACCGGTCTCTGGCCCATGATCCTTACAGAGCCTTGAAATTTCCTATGTGAAGTGAGCACTGGGGAATCTTTTTTTTTGAGGTATAATAACATTTGCTACGAAATATTTTATTAATTTCAAGTGCTCAACATGACTTCGTATCTGTATGAATTGCAAAATGATCATCACAATAAATATATTAAACAGCCCATCTTTTATTTTATCAAGGTGACACTGGCAGACTCCTACTGGGGCCAGAAAGGCCAAATCATGCTTTGAAGCTTGAGATTTTTAGCCTCACCCACCAGAAAAGGGGAGAGGGAATAGAAATAGAATTATTAATTAACTGACCATGACAACCTAAAGGCAGCTTCATAAAATCTTAATGGCAGGGGGTCCAGAGAGCTTCCAGGTTGGTGAACACAAATATAATGCACTCCACAGGGAGAGAAGCTTCTACACTCAGTTACCCTAGCCTCACCTTATATGTTCAGCTGGTTGTTAATCCATATACTTTACCCCATCCTTTAATAAATCAGTAAATGTGTTTCTCAGAATTGGGTGGGTTACCTAAGTAAATTAACTGAACAAGTTAACCAAGTTGTCTTGGGAAGCCTCGATTTGTACCAAAGTCAAACAGATGTTGTCAGCAACATGGGACCCTATGGCTAGTGAATGACATCTGAAGTGGGGTGGGGGCAATCTTGAAGGGTTGAACCCTAATATGGAATCTAGGCTATCTCCAGGTAGTGGAGGTCACCCAGCTTGGAAACAGATGTTTGATGGATACATGGAGCAAATGCTCCCCTCCCATTTTAACTGGTTTCAGAATCAATACAATACCTTTTATTGAATATGTCAAAATGCTCAATCCCCTCACCCCAGGCCAATGTCCACAATGCCACCACATCTGACAAAAATAAATCTAATTTGGTGCACCAATTATTTAATTACTGGAACTAAGGATCGAGTCCATTTTATAGTCTCATTTGCTTTTCTATAAAATTAAGAATTTCCACTTGGAAAGTTGTGGAGAGCTCACGTTTGGGAATATGAGGCATTTAACACAGGGAACGATGCCGACTTTTCATAACAAGCAAAAAATTCATTGGAGTACTGAAACTCAGGAAGATGGAAGTGTCAAAAGGATTGACTGGGCAAAATCAGTTCAGGTCCAATAAATATTTGCTGTGGGCTTACAGAAGCCGCAACACAAACAAAAGGAGACTAAGAACGTATAGTTCTTGCCCCCACGAACAGTGTGCTAGGGAATAACAGTGCACCAAGTAATTCTCTGGGCAAACTTATAGCCTCCTCCCCAACACAAAGGAGTGTTACAGAGCAATAATTCTCAAAAGGGCGACTTTATCTCCCAGGGGACATTTCCGATTGTAAGAAATGGGCAGGGAGGAGGAGAGCGATGCTGCGGTCATCCAGTAGGCAGAGGCCAGTAGCACCAGTTACCATGCCACAGGGCAGCCCCACAATCATCCTCCAGTTCAGAGGGCAGAGGTCGAAGGACTCTGCATAAGCGAGATCAGATGGTAAGAGCAGATGACTTCAAGCAGACAAACCACGCTTCCGGAAGAGCAGCGACCGGATTCCAGCCCCGGAGGTCGCCGCCTGGATGCCGAGGTCCCAGGAAGCCTCCCGGGCAACCGCGCCGCGGGGCCCTGGTTCGCAGCTCCGCGCCCTTCTTCCAACCCGCAGGGTGGTCCAACGGACCGGGAAAGGGCAGGGACCTGGCCCCCATGCAGACGCCCAGGGAGGATCTCTCACTCACTATTTCTCAGCCTTGGCAAGGTGCTCTAGGCCTTCGTTTATCTTCTGAGCCGCCATCTCCACTTTTGGGTCCCTGACGTGGACCGCCACTGCCCGGACCGCAGGCGTGGGAAGCTGGGAGGGCGCCGCCGCCGGGCACTACGGAGGCCTGCAGTGCCCTTACTTCCTGTAGCGTAGCCGGAAAGGGAGCCGGAGGGGAGGGGCGCAGAAACCGAGCGGCGCAGGCGCAGAGCTCCGGCTCTTGGGGCTTCCAGCGCAGGCGCGATGGGGTATGAACCGGGCCCTTAGGTCCTTCAACATTCTAGTATTTAGTGAACGCTTAGTGGACGTGTCAAGCACTGTATTAGGCCCCAGAAAACCTTCACGGACTATAACAGACTATAAACAAAAAAGAACTCTTGTGGTGCCAGCTTCCGCGTTGGCATTATTTTTACATATGTTCCTAGCTGTGATGGCATTCACAGACAATTATTCATTATGCCCTTTGAGCGCATTCAGTAAGAGAAACAGAATTATCCTTGATTATTATTAAATTATTATTATTAAAACCAAATAAGGGTTCAGAATAAGAAGTTGGAAGTAAAGGTCCCTTGTCTACAAGTCCAGTGTACTCTTCCCACCCCAGTTCCACCTTAGGCTCTCCAGCTAGAGATGTGGAAATTAGCCTATCAAAGACAGAACAAAGGGAGAAAAGATTTGTAAATAAATCTTACAAATTTGGTGCAAGTTTTATTGACATGAAAGCCTTCCTAAAGAAGAGCTACAAAGCAGTTAAGCCTGGGTGTTTTTATGGTAGATTTGACAAAGAGTGGGAAGTCATGGAATAGATGGTAAGATGAAATGGCGTGAGCTAAGGGTAGCAAACTGGAGTAGACTTATTGATGCTTGTTTCAATTTCCCACAGCAGCCCTTCATCTTTACAGGCTTCTTTCAGGCACAGTGGAGGCATCTCTCCATGAGGGTTGGTATGCTTCAGGAAATGTGACTCCAAAATAGGGTTTTCAATATAGTGTATGTTTCATGCTGAAAGAGTTTGAAGAAACAGCAGCAGAATCATAAAGCCCTTTGTTTCTCTAGCACTTTCCATGTAATGTCCATAAGAGATGGCCATTGAAAAAAATATTTTCTGTTCCCACGACTAACCCTACCTTGCTATCGCTTTATAATAGTAGTAAATGGAGGTGCTTTCTTCTAGCATCTTCTAAGCACCAAATTTGATTTCATTTGCTACTTACCTGAATTACATTATTCAACTGTCTGAGATCCTCAGAATAATTAAACATTCCATCAGCATTTATCTACCTAAGTATTGCTGATATTTTATTTAATATTAAATATTTCCCAGGCAGAACTAGTTCTTCTGCTTGCTGCTCTCAAACTTTAAGACTCATATACTTTGTAGGAAAGAAAAAAAAAAAGTAATCAATACATGTATATTGTATGTTTTGAAACTCCTTAATTTGGTGCATTTCTATTGATTAGTGTTATATATTACTAATTTATTGATCCCTTAATCATAATAACCATCTCTATCTTATTACCTTTTCAACTAGAAGTCTATTTTATCTGATAAGTATGGCTGTGTCACCCTTTTATGGCTCAGTTTCCTTGACTGACTATTTTCCAGTGCTTTACTTTTGGAATTCAGATGGGTCTCCCTCTCCCTCTCCCTATCAGCAGAAAGTTGGTTTTTGTTTTCTGACCCAAATGGCATCCTATACATTTTGTTTGGTGAGTTCAGTCCAGTCCACTGACATTTATTGTGATTATGGTTATATGAAGATTTGCTAGGGACATTTTGTCTTTCATTTTCTCGTTTTATCTATTTCCTGTTCAGTTATTGTGAATTTTCTTCCCTTTAAATTAGATAATAAAGCCTCTCTCAGCATTTCTTATACAGCAGATCAGTGTGGGAAACTCCTCAACTTTTAGTTCTCCTTATATGTGAGAGTGTCTTGCAAGATGTAGTATACTTTGCTGGCAATTTTTATGCTATTCAATTCTTTCCCTGCGCATAGGGTTTCCTCAGAGAATCCTGATGTAAGCCTGTTGGTAGTATTTACAGGTTGCCTGCTTTCCCCCCTCATCACTTTAAATATTCTGTTATTTGTCTTATTTATTGTATTGTACCTATTATCCTCTATTATTTCTTCAAATAGGTGCACTGTTCCTTTTCTCTCTCTTCTTCTGTGTTACTTGACATCCTTATGTTGCCTTCCTTAATGCAATCACATAATATTCAGTGTTTCTTCATTTTTTCTTCATATTTCCCTTCCTTCTTCCACCTGTAACCTTTGTGCATTACCTTTAAGGTTATCAATTTGATCTTCTATTTATGTATTTTGCCTTCATAGCTTTCTGCAGAATTTTTATTTATTTATTCATATAGAGCTGGGGTACAGGACAGAGATGCCGAGGGTGAGAGGATTCACCAGGGATAGAGTGGGGAGCAGAACAGGCAGATCCACGATGAAGTATACTGCTGAGGGGAGCAGCGGGCGGGTCAGGAGAGGTCTGCCTTGCCATGTGGATCTCCTCCGGGGCAGGCAGGGATGGAACTCATGCTTAAGCTTCTTAGTGCTGTGCTTTAACCTGCTGCGCCACCAGGGAGGGCCTCTGCGGAATTTTTTAAAACTCCTGTGTTCATCTTTTTACATCCTGCTACTCCTTACCCTCTTATTAAATCTTCAATTAGCATTTTATGTTCATTAATTACATTTCTACCTTACCAGAACTATAGTTTTATCTGGCTTTTGTGTATTTGCTCTTCCTGTAGGTCTGAGATCTGCTGTTGAGTAAGAGGGTGGGGGAGGAACCAAGAGAGTTCAAGTGGCTAGCTTGAGTGCTGAAATGTGAAGGGAGGTTCTTGTTTGTAGCCCCGCCAATAACCCTCCTTTCTGAGTGGCCAGACCTGAGATTCTGCTGTTTCTGTGCGTTCTCAGTGAATCTCTCAAGGTCGGTGCGAATCCTGAGGGGTAGCAAATTGGACCACCACCTAGTATACTTCATTCCTTTCATTGAGGACCTGGCTAACTAGGAACAACCCAGCTCTTTTGCACATGTATCCCCTCAGTCATGAGTATGTTCCCACACTGTTTAGCTTTGTCCCCGTGACCACCAGCTGAGTTTCAGTGTTATGATGGTTTGTCCCATCTGTGGTGGTTTGTCTCCTACTCCTAACCACAGCCTTCAAGTGTCTCTCTCCACCCACCTCTTACTCCCTGAAGCATGAATATCCTCCATAAATTTCTGGCAAGGTCTTCCTGGTCTCTGATGTCCAAGATAGGCCAGTTTTACTCCAAGCCACGGTACTCTCTGGACTGAAGTATTCCATTGGATAATTTGGATGCCCCTCTGGGGAACAAAGCCAGGAACTACCTCTGATGCCATTTTGATTTTCTCTCACAGGGCATCTGGTTTTTATAAGTCACCCTGTCCACACCCCCTCCTCTCATTGACACCCCAGGCTCCTACCCCATTCCCAGCTCAGGATAAAAACCACCAATGTGTTCCATTGACTCTAGAATTTACAGTCTTATAAATTCCCCACATGTATTTGATTAACTTTGTTCTTTTTTCCTACTAATATGTCTGATATTGTTTTGATTACTCAGCCTTGGAAGGACCTAGAGGGATAGAGGAAAATTTCCCCTCCGATATTCCGCATCTGCTGTTTGTCAAGTTCCTTCAAATTAAAATATTAAATATGCTAAGATGGCATGTTTGGTAGTAGCATGTCCTGACCCTGAGAAGGACATAATGCCTGTCCTCATGGAATTTGTGATCAATGAGGGGACACAGAATTAAATCTAATTTTATTTAAACATCAACAGAGAAAGAATGAAAAAGAGAAAGAAGGCACGACAGTCACATGGCATTTGACATTTCTATGTTCCCAAAGACCTTAGAACAGCAAACTGTCAAATCATCTTACAGAAAAGGGGTGAGAGAAAGGAGTGAGGGATAGTAGTGTCACTGGTACCCCCTCTGTCTTCCTTTCCCCTCCCCCCACTAGGGATAGGAAATGATCAAGGGAATTTAAATTAGAAGCCAAACAAAAGCTTAAGAAAAAAACTAGCAAACTGACCGTAGATCTGAGGCATACAGCAGGGGAGAAGAGTGGAGGGAGAGCAAAACAGGACACAAGGCAATATGGGGAGGTCCACGGCTGATATGGTTGCAGCAGAACTAAATTAATTAATTAAAACTTAAAAAACAAACAGAAAACAACAAAAAACATTAAAAATAAATTAGGATTTCAGTTTGGATGAGCTAAGAATGGAAATTATGCTCATATGAGCAAAGAATAAATGGTATATAGTTTTCCAAACTAGAACCGGCAGCTTAACCCAAGTACTGGTTTCTTATGAAATCATTTCTTTAAATATGTTTTAGAATTTATTTATTTATGCATATAATAACTGGGATGCAGGCCAGAGGTGGGGGAGGGTGAGAGGATTCACCAGAGACAGAGTGGGGAGCAGAACAGATGGGCTGACTGAAAGACACTTCTGAGGGAAGGCAGGAGAGGTCTGAGCACCATGTGGGTCATCTCCCTGGCCAGGATTCAAACTCTTGCTGCAGCAGCTGCAGAAGCTTCATAGTGCTGTATTTTAACCTGCTGTGTCCCCTGAGAGGGCCCTGAAAAGAGTTCTTGATGTCACAGGAGCTGCCACCAAATTCAAGTAGAGTTTGTTCCATGCTTCCAACCCTCCCCAAGCTGCAGGCTTACGTGACCCCACCTGAGGCCAAGATTTCCTCTTACTTTAGATATTCATTTTCTTTCTCATGCCTCAAAAAAAAAAATTATAATGCCAAGTACTCTCTACTTTCTTGGATCTATTCAAAATGATTCTTTGAGAGTAATTTGCTCTGTAACATGGGAGATTTCTTTGCACCTGAGTCCTCAGGTCGCAGGTACCCCTTACACATGCAAACTTGTCCTCTCCCTTGGACAACAAAGAATATTCTTGAACTGACTTTATAAAGGTGTTTTGGCCTTTGCTTGGATAAAACTGACAGGTGCCATTAGGATTTGTATATAATTTTTGGTTAGTGTTAATTACATTGCTGAAAAAAAACATAAATTTCTATTAACTTAATATAGAGCATTATCTTTCCA